TTGACAATGGGCACACACTTTATCCATATTACCAATATCAATGTTGCGATGCGAGTTATAATCAATTGTTGGATCATAGTCGAATGCAAGCCGTAGAAATGTCATTCGATTAGTGGCACGTGTTGCTGATCTTACTCGTCGATACGCAACACGTCGTTCTTCACTTCGCATTTGGCGTTGTTCTTGTGTAATGTTTTCACGGACGCGTGAACTGTGATTTCTAACTTGTTCATTTTCTGCTGCATGTTCCTCCTCTGTTCTTCGGGACCGTGCGTGACGGACGTAATTTATTTGTCGTGTACGGCGACCAATATCTGAACGTCGTCGCGGCATTGCGCTCGATTCAAACCAAATGTAATTAACAACCCGTACCGTACTCAGTACTAACCGTACTGCGAACCTCAGAACTGAGACCGTCTACCAGTTCTATTTTTAGAACGAATACGTACCCTTGAGATGGCAGTAATGTTTACAGGCAGGCGGTCGGGCGCACTTGAGACTGCCGTTGACGTTGACGTTATAAACTGTCACACTTCACCCCCGAACAATTTTTTAAGCTTTTACTTTACTTCGACATATCGGCATTCGGCAACAGTCCAGTGGTCCCGGTGCCTGGCGTTAGATCTCTGTTGTAATTAAAGTGAAAAATATTATAAAAAACGATGGACCGTTTTTGCAGTTATTGTGGGGCAAGGAGACAACTGGAGTTTGATCGTCCATTGGGTATGCATAATATAATAACATGTTACTATGTAATATCTATTATTACTCTTTACAGATCGCTGTAGCAAATGTGATAAATTCCCATTTATATTATCGCACGAAGTAAAGTCAGCGTCGGTATTGCGGTGTTCGGTGTGTACTGCTTATATCTGCGCGATAAACAGATATTGCGAAATATGTGGACATACGGTGGAAAACAGCAAACGGATAAGGGGCGAAAGAGCTGGACAAATGCAAATGGCAGGAAAAATTCAGGCGAAAAAAATGGAAGCTATCGAACGGAGAAAAAGACGAAAACTGGAAGCTGAGTGTTCATCGTTCAGTGCCTCAACCCCATCCACAATGACATCACTTTCGCCGTCAAAAAAGTCATCATCTAATCCGTTATCATTTTCATCCAACGATGATGATGATGTAGACAATTTGTTGTCGCAAATACCGGATTCGGAATTGTCGCAAATACAGGATTCGCAAAAACCGGATTCGGAATTGTCGCAAATACAGGATTCGGAAGCAAACCCAGAGTGAATCTATAATATGTAATTATAATTAGGTAGCTGATTAGGTAATTAGGTTATCTTTATAATACATAAGTACATACTTTATACATTTCCATGTAATAAACAAAATAAACAATTTAAATTGAGTGTGTGGTGGTTTCAATTTTAAATCTTATATTCGAGACCCCACTTAGCAAACGAAATAGGTAAATCTTGTCACAGTTCTATTTTTAGAACGCAAACCGAAACAGATCTATTTTTAGCTATCGTGTAAACTTTGTTGCCTAGTGTTATTGAACACCTGCACTTGAGGTGATAGTACTGTTTGTCGTACAAACGTCAAATTCGAGATGTACACGGCTCACAACTCCCATAGTACATATATAAATTTTTGTCGTAATCAGTGCAGCCGTTTTCGCGTTTTTAACTAACATACACCAACGTCCCTTTTATATATATAAAGATTAAAATGAAATTTTGTATGTAGGCACCTCGAATAAAATTAAAACTAATACAGTCTTCAAAAGTTCGTTTTACAAGCGGTTGCGGATCTGGTGGGACATAATCAACCCTTTAAGGCTTAAGGTATGTTGTAAAAATGATGAATGCGTAAAGATTTATTTTTATTTATGCCTCTATTTTTGAGTGGGCGGGGTTTCAGCCAACCCAACCCCCTTTACATTTACAGAGCATACCCGAACCCGGATTCGAACCAGGAACCCTTAGTTTAGTATCGCATCTCGAGAATCGTCCCACCAGCTTCAATATACTTCACAGTTCATTCAACTTCCTTACCTGCTTGGGTTTTATTCAAAGACGTATTTTTCCTCGAGGAACTGACTTACCTTTGGAAGACTCCGAGGGAACTTTTTTTGGAAATCTGCAAGTACATCTACAAAAGTAGTTTTCGGGAAAGGGAAGCCAAAAAATTGTAAAACAACAGAAAAATAATGGTTTTTAATATCTAACATTAAATTGAATACATATTAACGTTAGGAGCAATATTATTCTACCTTAAAATTCGTTAATCGTTGTTAAAAATTGAATACGTCTCGTAAGTACCAAAAATACCTGTACACCGTACATAATATTATGTAAGTAAAAATATAAAATATATAACCTATTATTTTTATGATTTGGTAGTCAGTATCTTTACATCACAGATTCACAAACTTTGATTTTTGGTTCGAATTCGATTTCTACGTCAGTGAGTTCGGTGACGGGATCGCCGAATGATGACGAACCTGAAGGTTCGCAATCACAAAACTCACTTAACTGTAATCTTCATGTGGCCGTCGTTACTACCCACCGACGTGCATTATACTGGGCCCCGTAGTGACGCTGAAGTGGTCTGCCGGAGGATTTCGCATTCCTTGAATTGTTACAAAGTGACCATCTTGTAAATGGTCTAAGAGACGTTGTCTCGACGACACCTGAAGAATTACTGCTGTTACCTGTTCAATGTTACATCGATTATTTTTATTCGTCTTTTTGAAAGAATGAAGAAAGGGGGAGAGAGAGAAATTGAAGCAGTACCTGTTTCCGTTGTCCTGTAGTTTTTATTTGAGGCAGTGTAGTGTCGTAAGAGCAGCCGCGGCAATTCTCGATTGAACGCTAAATATATCCATGGGTTAACGCAGCTATTCAAACTGTATAGAAGGGTTAGTATGGTGAAAGCAGGTCCTGTAATAAAATAACATTGTTATAGTTAGTATTTATTTTAAAGGCGTCATTATAATTTTCATTGCGTGATGGAAATTTAATATGTACTAAGGCACGAACTGCATTACGTTTTAATATGGAGCACATGAGAGGGTCATTTAGAGCCTAAAATTTATAACAGAAGTTTACGTGCGAGTGTATAAATTTCAGCTTAATGATGAGAAACGCGGAATTATAATGCGGGTCTATACACATTAATTACTTGTAAACTGCTTCTATTTTAATGAGACTACGTTAAACGTTAATTCGTGCTTTTACAAAAGTAAAGATTCCTTAGTTTTGTTTGTTATACTTCCCTGTGCATATTACTATAACAATTATCATACAAAACGTTCCTATTCTTACCCGACCGAAGCCTATTACTATACCCTTCAGAAAGCACGAGGTATTCCTAACCTAGAACTTTCCATCGGTATAAAACTCCGGCAGATATAGTAATCAATCCAAAAGAGATAAATTCTATTTTCTAATTAAACCAATTTTCGGCAGCCGCCCTGTTTACGTAGTATTAAATATGCCTCATTCAATATGATGAACAAAATGAAAATATCAAGCTACAAAGGAAAAGAAGGAGACAGATAAACCATACTGGGATCTGTCGACTGAACCCATCGGCTTGTAATAAACATGGTAAATTCCCAATCGGGCATCCTGCAGTTGTAGTTAGTGTGACAGTACTTTTACTAAAATATACGCTAGCTCTGAAGGTAAGTTCCGCAAAATATATTTCCTGCATAAACACTGTAACTTTGTAAGATTCGTTTTTTTACAGTTGTATAACTCTCTGAATATTGCAGTTTAATAATTTTTTTGTTATAAATGCATATAATTGGCAACTACGTATTAATACATTCCAAACACAAACAGATTCTTTTGTTGTTCCAAGCACTTGTCATTGTAGAAGGACATTAATACGTTTCTTGATTTAAGATCACAGACATACAATTTATTGTGCATCTTAAAACAAACAGTCATTCATTGGCAACGACTTTACCAGCACTGCCGTTCGTTTGTTATTTATAATAAACAGACTAAATAATATTCAGATACGTTCGAAATGTATGTTTTTCCTGTTATTGCTTTAGTTATAATCCAATTTTGTCTAGGCACGATTTATGATCATAATGAAAATTTATTGGCGTTGAAATTTATAACTTAAACATCGCCCCTTTAGAAAAAACTGGTTCATATTTAGCTGCTTGAAGATACTCCAACCAATTAAATCGAAGTATGAATTTCTAAAACTGTGAGTGAGTCGAAAGCCATACTCCACCATCTTGGTACAATCAGGTATAAAAGACACCCCCTGACTTTGCCAACGTCCAGTAAAGTAAGCATACATTTTTCATTACAACTGTTTTTAATGCTCAAATTGCCCACCATCCGCCCTGAAAGTCATCAAAATTTGTGCCCTGCCACAAATTGTAGAAAAGTAGCCGGCGAGTGGCATTCATTGGGGGATAGTGAGGCGTAAGGCGTTATGACAATTCACTTGGCGTTCATCCATTAATAAATAAGTTACTGGCGTAATTCATTTTTACTTGTAACAATATGATACTTAAATACAATAGGGGAATTAGACATATTCTGTTTTCAATTTAATTTAATGGCATCGTTACAGCATATACTTACCCTCTAAAAATGGACTTTCACTTGCTAGTGGATCCCAAGTCGCCCACAATTGAGCCGATATAAATGGAGTTGAGCAAACAATGTGCATAACTATAACCGCGACGGTTTGCTTCACGGTGTTAATTTTTGCTCGCGAAATTAACGGCCCCTTCTTTCCCGGTAACGGTTTCGGTTGGTGATTCTGCCTTTGGCGTTGACCCAATTCACCTGCGGAACTTCGCCATATTTCGCGGCAAATGCAGCTATAAGTTACGATCAATACTAATAGAGGTACAATGAACACGGAGATCCCATACCTGCAAGAAGTAACCAATGATTCGTTAACCAAGTTGCTTGCAACTGAGAATCCGTGAATTATTACACTTAAATTGTTTCGAAATTTCATTGACGTACGCATAGCCCTTCAACAGACGGCAAGTTTTCCGAAAGTAAGGAATAATTTATGGGTTACCGACTATTAAGCTTTGGGGCAAGATACAGCTGTGCGCTAAATTTAAATTAAACATTTGAAAATCTATTGTACTGGGCAACGATTATCCAATTATCTACATTTCTAGTATCCCATTTGTTTGAGCATCGTTTAGAGACAATTGCAATTCACGCAAGCTCCACCATTCTCGCCATCTGTTTTTCTTATCTAAGAATGCTCGAAACAAATTAGAATTAATGTAGGTATACTGTGCCATCTGTACAATTTCCCTAGGAGCATAACGTCGAAAAATTGTGAAAGTTTCAGAAACAGGAAATGAATGTCTTTGTTTTGTAGTAAAGTTCTGCGTGTGCGTCATATACAAATTAAGTTTACCAGGGGGCGAAATAAATCTGTGAGATGTAGAACAACTGTCAGAAAATTTTTGTAGAATTGTACTACTCAAATTGTATACGACGTTACATTGAACAACCTTAGGGCGTTTTATATTTGCGAAACACTCTATTTTTTAACAATTAATTACTTACCAAGTTACGTAAGCTTTTGCACCCCACGGTTGTGGAAACGTAGCCCAGCAATCATATACACCAGGGCCCACTTCTTGGTAAGCAAAAATCGTCAACTGAAACAATAAAAATTGTAAAAATTACGAATATTTAAAGATATACACTTTTTACACCAAATTACAGCAAATTAAAATACGTCCAATTAGTAGACGTTATGAAAAGTATTTTCATTAAGTCGTTAGGTACAGCAAAAAGTAAAGTAGTTTGCCGAGTAATGATAATGGGGTTAATCAAATAAACAAGGCGTTCAAGGAAACGTACTACGTACTTGTAAAGGTAGGTCCCGATCGGATTTAATGTTAAATGAAGCTCTGCTGCCTCAGAACTTAAAGGAGAATAAAATCCAGAACGAATCTATTAAACGAACAAACGTTTGTTCTAAGCACTTGTGTAAACAGAAATCCATATCTATTAAAGATGCTAGTCGTCTTCGTTGTCGTTCGTCTAATCGTTGTACCTGCCACGCGACCGACCCGGGTTCGATTCCCGGTCGATGCAGAATTATTTTATATATTATTTAACATTTCTACATTTGGCTAGACTACTGCTGATGGTTGACGTAGGATGTCACACAGTAAGAGCTGCTATTTCTAGTGTTCATTTCAGGGGATACGTATATATATGTATGTACAGTTTCTTTTTAAATGGACCACATATAGCATTGGATACTTTAGTAGACAACTCAAATGGTATCTATAGCATATTTTGTATGCGAAGTTTGACATTTTGAGTGCAAGTTCAATAGGTGGTAAGTACCATAAAATCCGATATGAAATAAGCATATTTAAAAAAATCTAATTTGCTCTTTTTCAAAGAAATTTTGAACTTATACCACTACAATTTACGAATAAAATGAAAAGACTGTAAAGAAATGTTGAGTTAAGTTAGTTACGTTTGTTAACATGGAGAAAAAGACAAAATATCTGACGACTTCGCACTACAAATATAGAGCAATGGAATGCTTTGCACCCTAGACCCAAACGCTTTCGTAGTAACAATTTATTTAAACGTGTACACCTAAATCCAAATATGCACCGACACGAGAAAAGGTTCGCTTCCTTATTAATACGGCAACACTTCGCAATATTCACGTTTTAAAATTATAGTAACCGTCCGACCACCTTTTCTTTCTGCATAAACCAAATACGTATTTTAATTCTCCATAATTAATACAAAAATATTGCGGATGGCGCAATTGAGCCGAAAATAGCGGTAGGCGCAAATAAGAGCTAAAGCCTAATTCCTCAAGAAACTTTCAGGCTGAAAGAGTTTGTGAATCAATTTCAAGCGAGTTCTTTATTACCTAGACATATCAAAACATGCATTGCAAACCACACACGTGAATACTAATGATTTCTCCTAAATTTTATTGCGATTGTTATTGTATTGAAAGTGTTGCGTCCCCAAACTAGAATAAAATATCCTTTCGTTTGTCCTTTAATGAAAATACCCTGTACATAACCGTTTTGCCTTGCCTGTATATATTCCTATTTGTTACGTGTGCGCGCATGAGCCGCAGAAGCGCAATATGTGTACTCGTCGCGCAGAATTCGTCCCATTCTTCGCTTAGAAGCCATCGACTAAACTAAGTTGAGAAGTCGCCGTTAATCAATGGCCGATTAGCCTTCGTCGTTCGCATATAGATCTTGATCGATCCACAACGGGTCAAGATGTCGCCGTGCAGTTCGCAACATCGTTATTAACAAGCAGAACGTCAAAGCACCGCACATCAATAAGAAGATTTCGTTGTAACAAAATCGACAAATTCGACAACTTCGTAGAATAGAAGAGCAACCTTCGCCATTGCAACATCGCCTTCGTTGTTAATGGACTTCGAAACAACACGTAAGTTCCTTTGTTTACATTATCCCTTCGTAACTTTACCATATTCTAGTAGCCGTCGTGCCTACGTCAACCATGTTCAATAGAAATTCATTTACTTTGTATTTTTGATAATAAACACGTTTATTTATGTGTCTATATTCTTTCATTCCCAGCATAAACAAGGCCTTGGAAGTAATTCATAATTACAGTCCACTTACAATCCAATTCTTTGTTATCGAAGCCCCCTTGTACGGTACAGAAAGGAAATCAGGCTGATATTCTACTGCGTCACGGGCAGTAAACTATTGCAGAACTAAATTCATACGATTGGAGGCTCCGAAGAGAAACGGCATTAACGACTTAAGAAAAAAAATTAGTAAAAAATAACCAACAGGGAGGGCGCAAGGAAATATGAACGTAATTATTTCAAAATTTATTTATTTGACAAAAAATTTCAACGAAGTGAGATCAAAGGATACCCAATGTAATTAAGAAAGGAACGCCCGTTGCTATGACTGAACGCCCTTTCGAATTATTAGCCAAATTCTAACTTCAAATGAAATTTAATAATACACTTTGTTTCATTTCTGATTCTTTGTGGTCATGTAATTAGATATGCATTCATACCCAGGGGTGTAATTACAATTACGAGTGGGCCTGAAATATCTCTCATACGTACGTTTCCGGTTACTAAAAATTAAACAAATTTCGTTACTTGAAAAGTTGAAGTATTTTTTAATTGAAACTGGCGGAATTTATTCTCCTTGACATTTTTCGTGACTTGTCGCATGTCACTGGCTGCCGCGTACGTTATGAACTTTAAAATTCTTTTCATGAGTAATAAATGCAGTACAATGCGTTCAAAATATCGAGAGCTGGAGTAATGGTTATCGGAAGGGCATTTTTTTGAGTTATTGCATATTATATTCTTTGAAAATAAAATCTTTGACTCAGTTGAACTACCTATTTATCCCTACCTAAGACATCTTTTTCATAGCATACTCATATTACCGATGAATTGGCAGTCCCAACATTTCTACTTCTCTCGTGTGCGTGCAAGATATAAAACGTTACATTATAGACGTGCTTCATAATTCTTTCATACGGAACTGGTGTCCCTTAAAAACATTTACCGTTTACTTTACTTATGTTATTATTTTACCCAGAATAAAAAAAATTGTTTTGCAGTTATCGCTTGTCACTTTCTAATAACTAATTTCAATATCTGAATTTTGCGTTTTTGCAGATAACTGAAGAATTCTGCTGTATAAAAAGAATGCTTAGTGGATGCGGAGTAGTTTTATCAGTGGTTTGCGAAAAATATCACTTTTGCCAAGTTGACAAGTTCTAACTTTTGCAAAAGATTTGGATATATTGTAAAATTCCAGAGCCATCACGATAAAATTGTTTAAATGAATTATCTAAGCGTTTTTACGCGAATGAGACCGTGGCTGTATCCTCTTTAGGTAAAGTTATTTTCATAAAACTCCTTTTTGTTAACCCGTTTCTTTCTAGGTTATGGCATATGCTTTATTTAAATTACCTATCTTTGTTTTACCTATATCGCAATCCTAAACCCATTTATTATTGGGTACATAAGCTTGAATTAATTGGAACTAGGTCTGATTTTTTGCATTTTCTAGTTTAGGATATATTTTTCTTTGTACGTTACGAGCATTGACGTAATCGTATTGAGAAAGTACCGTGTTCTGTATGAAATGCACACACTCGCTTTCGAATTGAAGATTGCTACCTGTCGATTAGCTGAAACTGATCTATTACATTGTATCGAACAATCGCAATTGCAAACGTGCAGGTAACCTGTTGGTAATTGCTTTTCTCGTTAGTTTATCTTGCTATATTGAATATAAAAGTTGCGGATGTTTACGTAATTACAATTTACATTTATCTTTGCCTTTCCTGTTACTGTTAACACAAGGTAACTCCGTTAGTTAATGTGTTTATTTTCCTGTCTGTAAATGAGATTAGATTAAGTTACTTATAGCTCCTAAGTATGCAGCTTTGCTGATCATTTGCATTTAGTTAAGTGTAATCTTGCACAGAATTAGTAATTTATTTACTGTTTTATGCAATGTAATATTGTATACAGAGTGGCCCAACGAGAAGTATACAGAGGGCTTTTAGGGTATTAAATTTAGAAATTTCGAAAAATCCTCGAACACGTCAATTTTGTATTGGAGGGGGACAACTTTTGGAATACAAATCACGAACCCAAGTCTTCACCCCTCTACGTAGGGAGCTTAACCCCTAAAATTTTAAATGGAATCCTATGGCAAATGGCACATTATTTGAAAGCCAATTTAATCGTGATTATTAATCTGCTTTGCTTTTTAAATTCTTTTGATTCGTTTCGGAGATATTCGCATTTGAAATGGTTTTTTTTCCTGATTTAAGTCCTTTAGATTACTTCTTGTGGGGATATCTAAAGAATAAAGTGTATGCTACTCCGCCCGGAACATTACAAGGGTTGCGAGCACGTATAACCATAGTGTAAGAATAGAATACACTATTGTATAACTCAACAATTTCGAGCGATTACCCCTGAAATCTTGCAACATGTACGGTAGCGTTTGGAAGCAAATCTTTATTATTGCATGGAAGCAGGCGGAAGGCAATTCGAGCATTTATTGAAATAAATGTTGTGTGTTTAAAGTTATATGTTATTTTTTGCACAATTTAAACCTTGTACTAAAATTTAAAAATTTTAATACAAGGTGACTTAGCCCTCTGTATACTTCTCGTTGGGCCACTCTGTATATGTAGATTCCTTGCCCGAGGATACACAAAGGTTGTATTCTTATTTTATTTTTATTTACTTTCTGGCGTGACTTGTATCACCAGAAGACCCGTTTCCCCTGGCTAGCCGTGGCCAATTCCCTTTTCCTTCTCGAAATTTGCTGGAACTTACAAGTCCTTCTCAGACGAGGAACGATGATGACAGATGACCACAAAAAGAGACACAAGAAGTCGAAGAAAAGATCCAGGCAATTACAACAGGTGCCAACCGCGATGGCTAAATTCTCCATTGTACCAACCGCAACCGTACCTGTCGCCCCCGCCGTCTTTTCCGCCGCACCCGATCACAACACAGGAGCTCTATGAGCCGCACTTAAAAAGACTACAGTAGGTCGTTATTATAAAACGTTTCTCTCCTGTCGTTGCGATAAGAGTTGTTATCGCTGCGTACGCTAATTAATTTTGAGATATGGATGTGTTATCGCCGTTAAGAAAATACAGGTGCGGTTTTATTTTTCGAAGACGATGTTTTTTACTATGGGAGGAGTGGAAGTTAAGGAAAGGGAAGAGTTGTTAAATAGAAGAGACGGATGTTAAACGAGTCTTTTTCTCTTGTTGCATTTTGCGTTTGTTTAATCGTGACTCCTTGTGGTTAATCGAGTTGTTTTGGACGAGTTAAAAGGAACGCTAGGTCGGCCCAAACGAAAATGTGTATATCCTATTGAAGCGAGCGCGTCCTGCTACGTCGCCGGCCGCATTACTTCTTCATCTACGCTGGGGGCTGGGAAATAGACCCATTAAATTTGTTTAGGTTTTTCTTTTTATTTTGTTTGAACAGTCTTCACTTTTATATCTATGACAAACTCTGTGTCACAAACCTTCATCTTTGCCAAATAGCTGTACCGCACAGATTTAGTGGTCTAAGTAAACACTTCTGTTTGATGCAACTTAAACAGCTTCGTACGGTTTACGACTGGTAGCAATTATTTGGCGGTAAACACGCGGCTACTGAGCGGATTTGAGTTCACGCGGTTGCGTGTGAATAGATACGCTCAAAGAAACAAAAATCGTTTGGATGAAACAGTGTGGTCTCAATCCGCGCGGAAAACGTCAGAACTAGTACCTCAGGATGCGGTTGTGTTTTGAGCAAAGCAGATTACTTTCTCGCTACCCTGACCACTGTTGTGATTTCCCTGTAATTTTCAATTTCCCTTAAAGTTTGAAAACAAAATGCTCGAAGCGAAAAATTAGAATGAAACTAATTTCGGTTAACGTCCGAGAACATGATCGATACTGATTGTAGTTTCCAGATTCAAACGCGCCGGAAATTACACTTTCCTATGCGTATTACGGATTACAAAATATCCAACAATACCTACTTCAACCTTTTTTTTATTTTTATGTTTTCGAAGCCTTCAACTTTCTTCTTCTTTTTTGTCGCTTACTGGCTTTGCTTCCCTAATTTATTAATCCCACGCATTTTTCATCGAAAATATGTGGGTCAAAGCCTTTCTTTTCAATATACACAGCTTACTTATAGACAGAGATGTTTACTTTTTACGATGGATTTCAGAACATCAGCACTAATAAATTGCTTTGGCCTTTGTGGGACGGTTCGAGGTCTCCTGGTCCATTCCCTGATATTTTATATATTGCTGGAAAATTGAACAATTTTACATCAAAGGTCTCTCTAAAAGCCACTTTGTGGGTTAATTACCAGGGAGCAATCCATATTTTATAAAGTTACGATAAACTCGTAAAATAAATCGGTGCTAAGGATAAATGTTGAGATCGGGTTTTAATTACTTCTGTATCCACCTTTGAACTCGGTAAAATACACCCGATAAAATTTCTTTAGACCACTGCCAAACTCCTAACAGCACAGCCATTTTCCTTAGAATTTTATCGTTAACAAAATTGATCATAAAATATAAATATAATGAAAAAAAAAATTAAGGTAAATTTTAAAGGCAGATCGCATCTGCAACATGTCATGCAAATTTATTGAAGCCGGGAGCTAATTTCATTGTATATGTACTGAAAAGCACAGTTCTTTTATTTGAAGTGACACAGAGACAAGGTAAATTAAAGACACAATAAGAGTTAATTAGGTTTATTATTTAATTAAGTTGGAACGGAGCTTTTTCATTTACAATCCACACAAAGATGTAAAAATACCTGCGCCTTGGGCAATTAGAAAACGTGCCGGCGTTCCAGAATAGTCAAATGACATGTTATACTAACACAATAAATGGCATGCAATAAACTGGAAAATTAAAAGCTCTTGTCATTATTTTGTAAAGCTTATGCCCGTTTGCACCAACAAATTTAAGCGGAGCTTAGCTTAAGCGTCGCTTAAAATCCATGGCAACGATTATTGAGACAATGGTTGCCATGGATTTTAAGCTACACTTAAAGCTAAGTTCCGCTTAAATTTGTCGATGCAAACGGGCATTAATGCGTAAAGATATTAATTAAGTCGTGAATCAGGGAACCAATTTTTCGTAGCTCATCTGAATAAAATAATCTGAATAAACTGTGGTCAAATTGCTACTAAACTCGATAAGGGCCGTATCAAAGGATAAACTCACGGTTTTCCAAAATGATTGAGTTCTACCACAGAATCGCGGCTCAGTGTTCCTGAATAATTACTCAACGAGTCGTTTGCATTGCTGCCTACTGCCTTTCATGCCTTAATATAAGCATAAGCAACACACCCTGCACTCTCATACAAAATGTACGGTTTTGGTCAGAAGTAATGTCCCTGGATTACCTCAAGTTTAGCACATAACAAATGTACCAGATCCACTGTGAATTTTGGGCTTCTTTCCAAAACGGGGAAAGTCCCTAAGATTGAAATGATATTGAACTAAATCATGGAGGAACTACTTTGTCTGCAGTTGAGATATTTGAGGGAGGACATTACTTCTGACCACGACTGTACATGCAATATAATCAGCTACCCTTCGTATTAGTGTAATACCTTATCAAGTCCAGAACCTCGACTTTCCATCGGCTATTGGCCCAGAACAGATGTTGGGAATATCGTATCAAGAGTAAAAGAAATTTCCAGTATTCCGGTTGTTTTTCGTCCGTCAATTGCGAAAGTAATTTTTAACGTGTGTCGCACTGGTAAGACATTAGTTTTGACAAATTGAAGAGCGATGAGAACTATGCGCAATGGGAATTTATTGAATATGTTGGCGTTCCCGCGTACGCGTAATAAAGTGCGTGAAACCTGCTCTAGACCATCGACATATAACAAATGAACTGCTCGTGCTAATGCTAAGCACGGATACTGCAGGTGAGAGAGAAGCGAAAACTAAGAGGGCAACTCTTACGGTTACGCATCTGATTGGTTCTTTCAACATAAGCGATCGCAATTTCATTCAAATTAAATTGAAAGAGCCAATCAGATGCGTAACCGTAAGAGACACTTTGCCCTCTTAGTTTTCCCTTCTCTCTCACCTGCAGTATCCGTGCTTATCTTGGACACGCGCAGTCTATTTATTGTATGTCATTGCTCTAGACACAGAAAAATTCTGACAAATTAGAACGAGCAATTGGACGGCCTTTTCTCGCGTGTGAAGATAAAGTCAAAAACTTTACTTCGGAAAGACCGATCCGCTGCGAAAAAAATTAAAAAAGAAATGCAAATTTCACCACTTTTCCAGGGGTGGCTCCCAAACGCAACACGTTGAACCCTCGGTTTATTTGGAAAAAATGCTTGTTTTCATCCGTTCTACCACAATTTTTTTTTACATACTGTATGTACCACCCTGTAGAAATGAAGAGGTCAGAGAAGGTTTATATGAATTTCAACGATTTTGCTTTAATGGTTGGTTATTACTGCCCGTACAACATGGAAATGCCTTGCTGTATTTGAAAGTTCTGGCGGAAATTGTTGACTTCAAGCCGTTTAAATTTAAATAAAAAATATTCCGAGCAATTGCTAACTTAAAATTTAAAGTGTAGCCCGTGGACTTTTTTTTTCAAAAACATGTAGTAGAGCTTGAGCTTCATTTATCTGTGTGTTTTTTCTTTTTCTCTTTTTTATTAATTAGGCCTCGACCTAGGCATTTAGAAAATGATTGAAATATTTTTCAGCCTGTTCATTTGAGATAACAGACATCTGGTGATAAGAAATTTTTACAACGAAACATATGTTCATCTTTCAATACTGAAAGCCGGTACAGTGTAAAGCTTATTTTTACTACAACAAAAAGAAAGGAATCAAGTGAAGAAAATCAATGGTATCAGAGGTATAACCTCGTCGAAATGGTCAGTAAATGTCGAAACACGTGCACAAAGTCATTAAAAAAATGTTCCTACCTGAGGTATGCAAAAGGTTAAACTAGCAGCCCACGCCAACCAAACCATTACCTTGGACCTTCGCGAGGTCCACGAACAGTACGTTAACGGATAGCAGATCGCTTGATGCCTGTCGATCGCCGTTGCCATCAAAATGTAAGCACTCAGGTAAGGTCCAAGCGTTTGTCCAAATTTCACAACCTTGCACAAAACGACTCCGCCGTTAAACCTGTAGGTCACCTCCCAACCCAGCTGCGGAAGCACACTTAGGAACGCCGTAATCAAATCGGCGACGCTCAAGTGCAGTATAAAGAAGTACATCCTTGACAGCTTCTTTCTTCCGGCGTACCTTCTTCGGGTCCATAACGCGAGTAGAACCGTTCCGTTTCCCAAAACCGTGACGAGGAATATAATCGCAAGAGTTGCAATTTCTATTTTTGCCAAGTTTTCATCTCTGTCCACGGTTGTGTTCTCAACATCAACGGTTGGTCCCGATCTTGTGATATTTTCAATCGTTCCATTCATGACGATATGTTCCACTAACATGAGCATGCATTTGTTTCGAAACTACCTGCAAAAAATAAATGACATCAGTAACGGATTAATGTAGCTACACGGATCTTATGAACAACATTTAAAGTTGCAGTTTAGTAGCAGCATAGCGTAACAGTAAGTTGGTGTTCTGGAGAGTATATACCTACTCCATGATTCCCATATAAATTCAATTCAATAAATTTTAACTAATACGTTAGCTCCAGATCCCTTTAACGGCAAGGGTATATAAAGTAAAACAAATTATTGTCATTCTTATTAAAAATGAGACGTGGCGCACGAAATAAAATGAAGTTCAGAACAAAATACAATATTGTTTTCATGGACACGACGGAATAACCTAACCTTGCTATTTTGCACGTCTAAATTGAATCTACAGAATTTTCGGAAGTTACAATGATTTCTATGACTTCTGCTATAAAATAAAGTATTATACACGGCGATAAGGGGAACCGATCATGTCGTGAAAGTCAATTCACTCATGGCTACGCCACGCCACCCGTGAATTAACGTCGTTCATTCGATGGAAAAAAATACTTTTATCGTCTTATGTAATAAATAACTATTATCTTGTTGTGCATTACACAATTTGTGCATAAGAAATAATATATCAGAACCAGAGGATAACGTTTTTTTAAGGTCAACACGTTGCAGATCACCAAAACATAATAAATGAAGATTTAGTTGCAGGTCGAGCCCTTAGGGAAGCAATTATGACTAAGTTCTATAGAGAAAACTCATTTATTGTAAATAAACATACATAGTTCGTTGTTTTCACGTCTCTTCTTTAGTATTATATTTTAGAAATATTCTAGAGAATAGGATAAACTAATAACATGTTCAAAAATAAGATTTAATAAAAAAACAATGTTCATTCTTCAATACCAAAATGCACAGTAAAAAAAATAAATAACATCCGCTTATATAAAATAATTTATAGATATTTGTATAAACAAAAAATCACATTTAACAAATATTTAACTACCTACCATACCAGTCTTATAAATAAAGGAATCAAAAGCAATACAAAAATAAGTATAAACAAAGTCCAGGTATTAAACATAAAAATCATTTCATAATAAAAGTTTTTGTTGCAGAAAGTGGAAAATCACATTGTATTTATAAAATACGTAGGTAAATAGTATCAGTCTTATTGTCAAGAGCATAAGAAAAGTTAAATTCAGGAAAAAACACGGTCACTAATAAAAAAAATGGTTATCACTATCATATACGTATACATAATATACAGTCTGGTAGTATCACATCTCGTAGGCTCACAGAACAAGTCACATATTCTCTTTTTTAAGGACAGGAGAATTCTCCAACATTGATAGCATTTTTTGCACACATTCAGTTTGTATTGTATCACCATTTTTGTGTGCCTTAAGTAATCAATTTTTACTTTATAATATTCAGATAACATTTGGGAATTTTCCTTATAGCTTTTCGTTAAATGTTGTTGTACCTTTAAGGAATTTTCCAATTTGGAAGATTTGGTTAATCTTCTAACGTTTATATTTGGACGACAAGGAAGCTCCTTTGCTATACCAGCATGATCCTGAAACAAATGTGGAGGATAAAACCCAAAACAAATATATTATTGTTATTTACTAGTTACCTCATTTAGGAGGTATATAGCAGTCGATGCATTGGGTTGATTTTCATCATAAGTATTCGCAACAGTTGGCACATCTACTTCACAGGAAATTTCCTCTGGAGGCAATTCAGTTAGATGATGAATTAATGGTACTGTTAACTTCATCGTAATTTAGTGTAGTTAGTTTATTTTATACTATAACCGAAATGTATTGATACGCTACATGCAAGTATTGAAGGAACTGGGAACCATAAACAATGATAATTAATTTAAAAATGTTAAGTGTTACAATTAATAATTTCTGATCTTATATTTTCTAAACCACAATATGTTAAATACATAAACGTACCTCAAAATCAAAAGACGTATCTATTTCAATACTGCCTGGAATACCTTCTGTAGCTGTGCTTGGGATCGTATGCAAAATATCTGCCGCTATCTGCGTAAACTCCATTATTTCAGATTCGCCTCCACCAGTTTTTTGCCATCTGTTTTTTTTTGCGTTGCAAGTTTGCTTTTACCTTTATTTTTTAAATCTTGCCATGTCTAAAAATAAGTTAAATTAACAACCTTTTACCTACACAAAATTTTCGTATTTTCGTTACTTACTTTTCTCCACTGCTTCCAATCTTTTATTGCCCCATTTGGTACATTATTTAGTTTTTGGGTAACTTCCTCCCAAAGACGTTGGGCATCTTTAAATGAAAATCTGTCTTTGAATTTGCCCGTACTTAAATTTTCATGCAGTCGGACAAACTCTTTTAATAGTTTCTTCTGGGCGTCAGTCACTGCCCTATTTCTTTTAGTGTCCATAATGCAAAACAAGTTCAAACAAAACAACAGCTGTGTCGATACAAATGTCACAACTGACAAATGACAGTTCAATTCTTGTCTGTGATTGGTCTGTTCATAAAGTTTGTCTGTGATTCGGGAATGCAGCTAAACTTAAACTTATCCCTATCGCGTACGATCATGACGTCATCGCAGCCGGTCACATCACATGCACATCACGGAGCATATCGACTAACTTCGGGAATCGATGTACTGGGCGGAATCGCCGATACAAGGCATTTACAAGACTACGCGTGTGCGTATGCAATGGGAGAGGAGTCTTGTGTACGTGTCGGAGATGTAGACCGGTACTCAACTGGTTGTAATTTGTCATATTTGAAGAAACGTAAGTTAGGTTATAGTTCAAGATCGCACATAAGGTCAACCTTCGCTCATCTGTTTACCGAGTAAAATATATTTATTAGCAATCTTAAGGTTTGGATTTAGAGAATATAGGCAACTGGTGATGCACATGTAATTCAATGGAGTGTGCATTGCCTCAGAACTTCATTCACCATTCCATAAGCAAGGGGTGTATATGATCGGAAAAATATGCATTAGGTAGATAGATGTACAGAGCATAGTTTCCATACAATATAAACTGATATTTTGTCCATTAATATATGTTTAAAAAATCTAGAAAACATGCGTCAAAAGAGTTCATAGTTTAGGAATTAATTGCAAAAATTAGGGGGCATTTTAAGCAATACGAATGTATGGGATCGGTAGCGTGAATACTTATCTATATTTTGGCAATTTATGTGAAGCTCAAAAGTTTTCATAAAAAAAGTGGTGAATGAAGTTCTGAAAAATGGGCATGTAAACTGGAGAAACGGAAATAAACTACGCAGCTGTGACTAATATCGCGGTCAACAGTGTAGCTCCTTTCTCACAGAGGGTGCCACCAAGAGTTTCATGAAGTAGGTAAAAAATACGATAAAGATATGAAATAGGTACCTAAGCGCTTTTATCTTGCGATGGAGTTGTTCTTACTTTGTAACTAGGCTAGTACCGTTGAGCTAGTACTGTGTAATGGGGATAACAAAAGACAAAAATTTACGAGCAAAAAAAAACTAGCAGGCTATGTAAGTTGCCTATGTTAAATCATTTAGCGATTCTCTTTCAAGGTTAAACAGTGCCTGCTTGTAAAAGAATTTGCTGACAGCAAGAAAAAGATCGTTCACTGGTATATTTTTATTTTGTCAACTACTTGCTTCGAAATTTATTTGGTTTCTCTTTCCTATTCATTGCAAAAGGTAACCTCCTCTACCTATCGTTTTATGAAATAAATAATAGAAAGGGGGATAGGTAACATTCCTTTATAACAAATATCAAAATTTTACGTTATTTTTAGAACAAAGGGCTGTTGTATATTGTTGTTGATGTCTGGCAAGTTGCGACCTTGTGTGGGTGTTTATTTGTAATGCGATTTGTTTGACCGTTTTCCTTATTCTTTATCTTTGCTTATTGCACTTTGCAGATTAAAATACCGTAATTTATAATCCATACCTTGTTGCAAATTAAATTTTTTGAACTTCAATAGTACCATTGAATAAAGAGCTTTATTAATAGTACCTATTACATATTATTAGTATTAGTTTAGTCAGTTTAGTGTAATGTGTAATAATTGACCTATACAGGGTGATTCAAATTCAAAGGCCACCATGGGAATCTCGGGAACTGTAAGAGATAGGTAGTTTACATTTGACAAAGTTACCCTTGATGGTAACATCATCTAGTTTTAATAAGAAATACCGTTAATTCGTAAAAACGCAAGAAACTACTTACGTACGTTACTTAAGACAAAGGCAAAAAAGATGTTTTACAAGCATTAAAAACATTGATGTGTACATTTTTGAAATCAAAAAAAAATTCTCTATCAAATCACACAAAAAGTAAAAATTACTTCCATAAGAAACAAAGTTGGTGATAGTTAACCGGAGACGAAACGTCAAACTTCAAATTTAAAAGTAGCATCTTGTAGAGGGAGAAAAGTGGCCATAATAATGTGTCATTTATTATTAAATATCTTTGTAAATAACTATTAACTTCAGTAAAAAACAAAAACGATTTTCAAAATCTCGTTTTTTCCAGATATCTCCGAAAGTAGTCAGAATTTCAGTTTCAAAACTGTTTTTGTTAAGCATCAAAATACACAACTTTGCCAAATTTACCACCTATATCTATCTCTTACATTTCCCGAGATTCCCATGGTGGCCCTCGAATTCGAATCAGCCTGTCAACAGGGCCGGTGAAAGGCTATTTGGCGCCCTAGGCGAGATGTTCTCAGCGCGCCCTTCCGGAGGTTATTCCTAGGTACCAGTACCAGGCAAAAAATAGAAAGTGGCGTTCATAAATACTTTATTGTGTTTTCTTCAAATACATAATAACATAACGACATAACGTGTAGGCGATGTAGGTACCTATACAAAAACGCATATCCAAAGATATTAGGGTAGGGATATACACATAAAAAATCAAAAATTCATCTTCCTTGCCTTATTTCTCGCGAACTGCTGGACTATCTGTTCTAAATTTACATTCCATGCCTCCTTCGATTCAATTGAGATCATTGCCAAGTCCACGAGCCTATTCTGAGACATTGTTGACCGCAAAAATGTCTTTATCAGCTTTAGCTTGGAGAAACTGCGTTCTCCGCTCGCCACCGACACTGGAAGCGTCATTAAAAAGTACCGGGAAGTTTTTTGGAGCCGCCGACGCGCTTTCGCTGAAAGATGTTACTTAATTTTGGCGCCCTCTGAAGCTTGGCGCCCCAGGCAGCCGCCTATGTTCGCCTTGTGGTTTAACCGGCCCTGCCTGTCAATTACTAATTTACAAAAGACCATCCCTCGAATGTAAGACATTGGGTACAAATGTATATTTAGGTATAAACGGCTAAAAAATTAAAAAAAAATCGGTATACCGTAGGTATGTCTCCGGATTGACTTTACAAGAAGAAAAACTTTTACTATACTTTTTGACAAAAATCCATTCTCCATAAAAGCTTTTGCTTGTTCTAATTCGAAATGTCCCTACCGTTTCAGAGAAAAATATAAAAAAAACGAAAATATGGTTGAACTTTTCCAAGTCCTAAAAGTCAAAACGCGTCTTGACTGTACCTAATAACATTTCGTTAGTTACAAAGTCTTCGTTACCTGTTATTTGAATAGGCACTAGGATCGTTATAACTTATAAGTATAACAAACACACTTCGTAATGACATTGAATTTCATTAAGTGAAGGAATCAAGAGTTTTACTGAGAGTCCTCCCAAACAAAAAGCCCCTGTCGCCACTTGTGAACCAATTTTACGACCTTAATTTTGAAAGTCCCCTATGCCAATAATTACGCGATTTTTACTTCATAAGTTACGTTACAAGCGGTTCATTATTCTCCTCAAGTTATGTGCGGTAGAGAGCTAATTATAATTTTGTTAACCTAGCAGTCTGTAGGGAGCCGTGAACGACCTTGCGTTTGTGTTTTGTATCTTCTTGTCGTGTGGTTATGCAAATCAAATTGCATTTTTTTAAAGCACCCTCTGTGTTGTTTGGGGCCCACTTAAAGAGAGTATAATGATTTAAATATTTGTATAGAAAACTGCTGTAGTTACGCTATTCATTATTAGGTACCAGCACATTCTAACGAAAAAATCTTTGTCCTTTACTATGGGTACTTCTCTTTTCAGGCAATCCCAGCCTTAATATGTAAATGCTAATGTGTTGCCTAAAAAAAATTTGCTGTGGCAAGCGCAGATACCATTTGCGCACCTGCGCATGGGCGATTCTGTCCTATTATGTCTAAGAATATGTATAGCAAATTGGGTTCCAATCGGTTCAGCCGTTTAGCCGGAAATGAGAATGAGTACACATGGACCGACAAACCGACATCATCGAGATTTTGTTTGATTCCGATGGCTATAGCCATAGATAGAAGTTGTGCTACGTCAACGGTGATGGAATTCATTCCATGTATACCCTGCTATATTTGAAACTTAGAGGCTTTCAATCTCCACAAAAGTCTTAACTTTGATTTCCACTGAAGGAAATTTTGAACACCTTTTCAAGTTTTTCGATCGTAACATTTGTAACTGAAAAACTTTCTCACGTGTATAACAACTCATTATCTCTAAAACTTCACTGATAACAAGTAAATAACAAGTTTTTCGAAATATTAATTTGAATACAAAGGAATTTAACACACATACCTAACAGCTATATACCTTCAAAGAATATGTATAGATAGAAATAAGCTGAAGTTTGTGAAACACAATTAACTGAATAATGCATTAGCGTGAATGGATTTTTCAGATAGCCCCTTTAACGTAAAAATTAAGATTGTAATTTAATTATGAAATGGCGGATATTGGCACTATCCAATTAGTAACCTAAATTAACACGGACAGTTTATACTCCGGATATTTTCACGTCCGTTAAATAGAGTTTCGCCATTGATACACAAAAATTACGACCATCTCCGGGTAAATTAGTTTGATAGCAGTTTACTTGAACGAGAAATAATGAGAATCGATCAGGTTTAACGTATGGACTAAGGGAGGCAT